TCCCCAGTAGGGAGCGTGCAGGAGGCAGCCGATCAATGATTCTCTCTCATCATTGATGTTTCTATCTCTCTCTTCCTCTCCCTTCCTCTCTGAAATCAATAAAAATATATTTTAAAAAATTCATGTTCTAAGTATGGGAGCTCCTGGTTGAGGATGATGAAGAGAAAGGATGTACAAGAGAGTTTTTAAAGAAGCCTAGACAGTATTTGACCATTTTCTGAACCTTCTCGGGACCCTAGCAGAATAATTCAACTTTTTGATCCAGCCTCGCTAAGTAGTACATCTCTCATTCAACAAATACTTTGGAGACCTACTATATGCATGGTGAACTAGATAAGGATAGAAAGATAAATCAGATACGGTACTGGGACATCAAGAATTTCCCTGTCTAGGAGAGGAGATAACTTGTTTGCATAAATAGCAAGACTGGTATCCTAAGAGCAGGGCAGAGGAGGTTCAGTGAATGTTGAGAGGGGCACAATAGATGTGGTCTGATTATTGGGAGATCACTCCCAGCTTGTTGGGAGAATGGGGGCTGAGGGGCAAGCAGACTTGCTATCCTCTGAATGAGATGTACTTTGTATAATGTTTTGCACTTAAAATACTGTTTGCCCTGCCTGTATCATCATCTTTCCTCTCAAATTCTATTGATCTTCATATTGGCTCAAGTTTTATCTCTATGAAGTGGTTTTTACCAATTTCTTTAAGCAAGTTATATACTCACCGTTGGCCTCATATACAAAACTAGTAGCCCTGCACATGAATCCGTGTGCCAGTAGCTCGCTGCTGCCCTCCTGTAGCTCCCCTCGCCCCCCCTCATAGCTTGCTGCTCTGCCCCCTCCTGTAGCTCTCCACTGCTCACTTGTAGCCACCCTCTCATAGCTTGCTGCCCTACCCCCTCCTATAGCTCTCCACCACCCACTTGTAGCTTGCTGCCCCACCTTCCCGCTGATCTGTGATCCAGTCGTTACGCAGTCGGTCATTACGTAACGACCATTTGCATATTACATCTTCATTATATAGGATGGTACATAATATGTACACTTCCCATTTTCTTTGAGTGTGTGGCAGTCTATTCATTTATCTACTTTTCTATTTACCTCCCTATCTATCATCTATAACTAGTTCTTCATGTGCATCCATCTACACATACAGTACATATGCAATTATGAGTAATTTTTATTTTCTTCCTTATGTGCTTTTGTACTTTTAAACTTTTTACAGTGAATAGACATGGCTTTCATAATTAGGAAAAAAATAAAATTACAAGTAACTTAAGGAAAACAGCCTCGTAATAAGATGCTGTACCTGTGTAAACAGTGAGTACTTTAAGAATTAGCAGGGCCTTCTTCAAGCTAAGTGCTAACTGATTGATTCTGTCAACACCTTACTCTTGGTGCACCGATTTTCTCCACCTCCAAGTAGTTTCTTTAGCGTCTGAGTCCTCTCTAAGTGTACACTTGGGAATGCTTGAACGTGGCCTCTTTCCTTTGGGATGGACCCCTGAGGTGCCCAGGGTGTGTGCAGAGGCCTGAAAGAGACGCCCCTTTCAAAGCTGGGCCAGGCTTGCCTGCGCTCTCTGAGAGCCACTGTCTCCCCATCTCCTAGGGCCGAGCCCGAGTGCCGGGACCACCGCCTCACCGCCAGGCAGAAGGGGCTGCCATTGGATCAGCGGGACCCGGACTGGGATGCCAAGAAAAGGGAGATGGAGCTGTCTCTTCCTTCCTCGAATCGAAACACTAATAAGAAAAAGCATAAGAAAAGTCGAGGCCCCACCAAGTTCAGCAATACCAAGGAGAGGAAAGTGTGAGAAGGCTGGGCCACAGAGGCTGGAACCTATGTTTTCTGGTGGGAGACTTTCCCTAGTACCAGAGTAGAGCTTGTCAGGCGTGTGTTGTCTTTACCTGATTTTACTCATAGGTCATTATCCAGATGGCTTCTACTGGTAGCTCAAGACCTGTCATTCAACCGGAAGTCTTGCCCTGAGGCTGTCCTCACTATTGTCTCCTTACTAATACCTGCTGTCCATAGAATTACCAGCGGGAGACAAGTGTCAGCTGCTTGCATTACCAGTGATTTGAACTCATCAGCTTCTCCTGACCTCCACATGCAATTATAGAATTTCAAAAGAATGTCTCCTAAGGAAACTAGATTGTTTACATGCAAAAAAAAAAAAATCACCAAAATACTGTTTAGCCAATCTATGAAAAAATTGTTTGTTGTTACAGAGGCTAAGCAAAGAGATAAACGAATGTAGGTCTGTTTCCAGCCATTTTTGTTGTTGTTGTGGGGTAGAGGGCCACCACCTCAGCATGGCCATGCTACTCACGATCACCTCTACCCAGGAGGAGCAGTCCGGGCAAGAGACCAGCTCAATGGGACCTAACTGGAAACTCTATGGAATCAATGAGAGAGAGTATAAAACAAAGGAACATGCGATCATAGCTCTATTTATTGAATTATATATTTTAGGAAGTCTGATACAAATCAGGTATTTTCAATGAAACTATTGTATCCAAAGTGAGATGTGCTGTAAATGTAAAATACCTATCAGATTTTTGAAGACGTGGTACAAAAATGTAAAATAGCTCATCAATACTATTTAGTGTTGATTACATGCTGAAATAATATTTTGGATACTAAGTTAAATAAAAGATACTATTAACATGAATTTACCTCTTTCCTTTCACTTAAAAAAAGTGGCTACTAAAATGTTTAAAATTATGTATGTGAAATCGCTTCTCCCCCTCCTCCCCCCCATCAGATGACACTGCCATAGAAACTAAAAAAATATTTAAATCAGGCAACTGGCCTGGTGCACTTTAATTGGCTACCCCACATTCTAGATTTACTATGTTCTTTGCCTAAAGCAATTGTTTTTGGGCACCTAACATCTTTATTACACATTCCTCAATTAAAGCTTATGTTAATACAGGTCATGTTAAATTTGAAATTTCTGAAATGAAAAGATGCTTGAACATCTTATAAGAAAGTAGTATAGCTGGGAGGATACCTTTCTAGTGTTCATCCACCCCAGTATCCATCCCCTTTCTCTATACCCTGCAGCTTACAGGGGTGGTTCCTGCTTGCCATGTTTGTACCGGTCCCCAACCAGTAAGCACATTAGAAGATACCCGACTCAACATGAGTCACCTGGACCAATATGACTCTCCTGGAAACTTGAAAAGGGTCTTCATTAGAAGATGGATCAGTAGCATATAACTTCAGTCTACAATAGAACTGAGGAAGTAGAGACGTGTTCTGCAAAAAGAAAGAGAAGACTGAAGGCAGAGATGGAGATAGAGATAGAGAACTAGAGCTAGAGCTAGAGAGAACAACTTTCTAGTTTCAGTTTTGATTCCTTACTCCGGAAGTCTGTGAAATACTACTTTCATAATATTATTTCCTTTTTTGACACTGCACCCACCCCCCCTCTTCCCCGCAACCCGTCTTTTCTAATAAGTACAGTATTAAGATCATGGGCTTATGAGTCAAACTGACTTAGGTTTGTATCCTCTTCTATAAAATAGGGAAAATAATCTTTACCTCCTGGGGTTGCTGTGAGGATGAGGTGGGAGGATGTGTGTAAAATGCTGGCATTGGCGCTCTATAACAGGCCTATGTAATGGCTATTATATCACTCTAGAAATAATCTTACTTTTTCCCTGGGAATCCCAAAGGGGTCCAGAAATAATTCCTTTTTACTAATCAAGTGAGGCTTTCCATTGTTCAGTCCATAAATATCCCCTGCCCACTTTTATGACATGGATAATGGCCTGCTTGCATTGACCATCAGACTTAGACTAAACTGTGATAAGATTCAGAGGGTTCTCTACTGTGTTCATAACCCATGGCCTCCCAGTGTCCTCACTGAGTCCTCCTTTCATTCTTATTCTCATTGAAGCATTAAAAGAAGGAATATATTCTTTCTGCCATGAGTTTTTGTATAATAAATAAGAACAACAGGAAGAGGATCCTAAAATTGCTTTCTTGTATGAAGAATTTGTTGCAGTGGAGAGTCTCTAATAGACACTTTACATGTATTATATCTAATCTGTATGACACACCTGCGAGGCAGGTACGATTCTCCCCAGTTAATATCACAAACTGAAGTTCCGAGAGGTGAGTGACTTGCCCTAGGCCCCCTGGCGGATGCTTGTACAGTCTTTAGAACCAAACTGGATTGGATGGAACTCTAGTTCTATGGCTGTGGGACCTTGGGTGGGGTGCTTAATTTCTCTAGTTTTCCCATCTGTAAGGTGGGGAGAATACCAGTGCCTATGCTATGACATTGTGGTGAGAACTAAATGAGATAATGCATGGCAAGCATTTAGTACAATACCCTCTACATGGTAATGTCAATTGTTGGAATGGCCATTGTTTTCACAGCCTTCATTGTCTTAGATAGGTAACAAAGAAGAATGGCTTGCCCACTGGCATGGCTCAGTGATTGATGTTGACCTATGAACCAGTAGGTCTCGGTTTGATTCCTAGTCAGGACACATGCTTGGGTTTCAGGCTTGAATCCCAGTGTGGGGTGTGCAGGAGGCAGCCAATCAATGATTCTCTCTCATCATTATATTTCTATCTCCCTCTTCCTCTTCCTTCCTCCTGAAATAAATAAAAAATATATATTTAGGAGAAGGAGGAGAAGGAGGAGGAGGAGGAGGAGGAGGAGAAGGAGGAGAAAGAGGAGAAAGAGGAAGAAATAAGAAGAAAGAAGAAGAAGAATGGCTTGCTGGCAAGCATTAGCATCAACCCAGAGGGGTAATTTGGGGAAAGTATTCTCTCTAAGTCTAAGCACATCAAAGCCATGAATGAAGATACCCACCTGTTTTCTGTCCCATGAGGTTAAGATCTCAACCAAGTAGCCTCAGGGCTGAGATTACTTCACAATGACCATGGACTTCACTTCCCACCCTCACCCCATTTTAGTGAGGCCTGTATGAGGATTTGCAACATTGGAGGGTCTGGTATTGGGGGTAGTCATCTGCTCTCTCCCACCCTTATTGTGTGAGGAGCAGGGGCAGCATGATAATATAAAGAAGACAATGGTAGAGGAGAGAAGCCATTCTAAGCCTGACTTATCAGGGAACTGGCTATGTGACTGTGGGCAGTGCTTTTGGGACAGGTCCCTTACCTGTAAAATGTCAGGGTAGAACTAGATCTCCAAAATCACATTTAATGCATGTAAATGAAAGTTCCACAGGGCTCTTCTGAGCAATTAAACCAAATTTTATTCTGATATAATTTGTAAATGAAAGAACGTGGCCTTCAGCATGAGCTGAAAATGCTCTTTGAGATGAGGCAAGAATTTAAAAAGCAAAAGTCAAAGGAATGGGTTGCTAGACAACAAGAACATAAACTTACATCATTCATTTTCTGATTGGGGACAATGGGACAGGTGGGGTTGGGAGATAAAAATGGTAGTTTTGGTTGACTCATGAGCAGCAGGTAGAGTCATGGGATATGACCAACAATTGGAGCCATGAGACATGGTCAGCAGAGGAGGGGGCATCACAAGGCATGAGCCAACACCTCAGTTCCCCTGGGAGTCTGCAAAATAAACTAGTAAAACAAGATTTGTCATGACACAGACAATGCAGGGAATCTGGTTCCTCAGGTAGATAGAGTCAGAGTTTAGAAGGCAAAATGACCTAGTCACTAGAGCAGGGTCAGAGACCAAATTGAAGAAGAACCTGGATATTTGGTTCTAAAATTGTATTAGAGTCCTGAATATGAGAGTGTAAGACCCTTAGCCCTAGGTTGTCTAAGAAACCAAAATAAAGTAGGATATTGTCCCTTATTAACTTAAGAAAACATTCAAACCTATAGAGAATTTTTATGAGTTAAAAATTGAGTCAAATTGATAATAATTGCTGGGATACAAAATCTCAGCAGGTTGAGAATGGCTCTGGAGAATGGCAGTTTTGCAGCTTATTTTATACATTAGAATAAAAGGAGATGTAAGAAGGGTTATGGAGATGGTGTTTGGACAAGATAACAATGAAGGTAACTATGTTTGGTGCCAGATGAGTACTGGATATATCAGGGACCACTTTGTAAAGTATATGATTGTCTAATCATTATGCTGTACACTTGAAACTAATACAAAATAATACTGAATGTAAATCGTAATTGAAAAATAAAATGAAATTTTTAAAAAGATAACAATGGAGAGGAGCCACCACAGCAGTGAACAGCACCCACCACAGGAGCTGCTCCCAACTGAGGAGCAGCTGCTACCACAACTGCCCAAGGATGATTTTAAAATACAGATATTGTGAATAAGATTAATAAAAAGACTGCCATTTGGCTTACCCTGTTGACATGAATGTATCTTATCTAGTTGGAAAGGCTTTAGTACCATGAGTCATATGGGCATGTGACTGAAAACCAGACCCATGACATGGTCAAGAAGAAGCTTCTGAAATTGGGCCAAACACCATACTATATTGAAGCAAGTTTGGTCTTTGTATGAAGAATATCCAAGACCTGACTGATGTGATCAGTGGTTAGAGCATTGGCCTGGGCAATGGAAGGTCTTGGGTTCCATTCTTGGTTAAGGGCACGTAGCTGGGTTGCAGGTTCAACTCCTGGCCCCTGTTAGGACGCATACAGGAGGTAGCCAATTGATGACTCACATCAATGTTTTTCTCTGTCTCATTCCCCCTCCTTTTTCACTCTCTCTAAAAATCAATGGAAAAATATTCTCAGCTGGAAATTAACCAAAAAAAAAAAATAGCCAAGACATTCATCAAACCAATGCCAGATTGAGAGTATGGATAAACACTTAGATACACAGAGGCACAAAGCAACACATGAAAAAAAACAAGCAAATAAAAAAGCCTTGCTAAACAGATGAAATAAAAAATGCAAATTTAGAGGACTCATTCTTAAATTAACTCTGAGCCCATAGCTGCCAGCCTCACTTTTCCAAACTAATTTACATAAAGGTACTTTAGGACTTCCACACTTGTGATTCAAAATTATTTTTATTTTATGGCAGTACTAAAACAAAAGACAGACACACATTTAATGAATTATATACTAAATGTTAGCAATGAAGACAATCAATGTGTTACCTTGTGGTGAAAATCTAATTCATATACCTGAAAACATTACAATGAACAGAGATCTGTGCACATAAAATTTTTCCAATGAGTGTATCTCCACTATTATGCTGGGCTCAGTTAGTGATTAGAAAGTACTAGTATCATGCACTGATGCATGCCACGCAGCTGTGTGATAATGGCACATTAGAGATATTTTAGACACAGCTTCAGTGTTGGATTTGGGGGGTGTTTTATTTATTATTTGCTCATGACTTTGATCTCTTATATTGCACTGGGTAGCTGTGTGTGTCGCCAAGACAGTGTGAGATGGGGGTGGTGTGACATCTATATTTATCACAGAGAGCTCTGTTGGTGGCAGAAACAAAGAATGAGTTCTTTGAATTTAAAAAAAAATACATAAAACAC